CAGCATACGAAGGACCCTTCAAAGTTCTTCAACGTGAATCTAAGTACTATATAATCGATAAGAACGGAACCAACGATAGCATCAGCATCGATCGCTTAAAAGCAGCGTATTTAGAAGGAAATCCTATCTACGTGGATTTTCCTTCGGTACAATCGAACGACACGACTCCGACACTTATAATACCTCATCCGACAACCAACACACACGATGATACTTCGACAGTATCCGAAAATAAACTTAAAACGACGCGTTCTGGAAGTAGGGTGAGATTTCCAGAACATTTAAACGACTATTGCACGTAAGGCACTTCTCGACATTTTATATTATTTTTTTAAAAAAAAACAATTTTAATATGCTTATATATTTTTATTTCTATTTAAAAAAAAACAAAACAAAAAAACAATTTTTTTAACGCTATTACGTGTTCATGAGTTTATTTTCCATTTTTTCTCCGCCGACATTGTGCTTTTACGCACATATGAGTGTATTTTCGACATGCACTTACATTTTCTTTTTTCTTTTCCAGGACGGCTGGAAAAGAACGACGACGTTTATGAGGATCCGAAATTTTCATTGTACATTTTCTTTTTTTACTATGTTGTACCTCCGTCCCATATAGTAAGGAAAGACGACCAGACTCTGCTAAATTTAGTAAGCTATCAGAAGAGTGTTTACCAACGACAAACTCGTTGGGTTTAAACTTCTGGCTGGCCACGTCTTAGGGTCGTCACTGCCCAACTAGGGGGGGAGTGATCTGTAGCGGTAAATAAATCCCTATAATACTATTTCTAGCACCATATTTTACTTTATAACCACACATAATCCCATACTCTCAGCTCCTTTCCGAATTGCCTCCATTTGTCAGTTGTATGTCCACTCACACCTTGTTAACACTTATTTTCTTTAACCTATTAAATGCTCTTTCTTAACAAATACCTTAATAAAAGAAAATTAGAATGAGTAATCATACCTTAAACATTCATTCATGAATATTGGCTACTCTGCCCCTCGTGTTTTCTTTTACTTGCTCCCTCTTTCAGCCCCCTTGTGATATGGAACGCAAGATTTTATCCTGCACTATCCTCAAAGCCTTAGACATTCCAAAGGGACATAAGGTTGTGACTTTTAGAAGCTCCCACCTTCAATGGACCTATCCTTGACCATCAGTTACACATTCGCAACGCAACTTTCGTGAAGCGCGCCAACTGTGATACTGATTAAAACCATCTACATTCATATCTTATAAATTATCAACCCAGCTGTGTAATTTACTACAGTGGATATTGTATCATTTGTATCAATTTGATCTTGCCTGTAAACTGGCATGCCTCATGTAACAAACTGTTATTTGAGAATAGATTATTATTATTATTAATATTATTACCGTAAGTTCAATATTATGATTAATTAACAGTTCCCTTATAAGTTGCGTTTCTTACTAGGTATGTAGAATCAATGTAGATAATATAGTCACCTTACATGTAATGTACTGTACTATATCCTCACGGTTATTGATTCGGAAATGTCAGAAATAAAAAAATGAATGGTGCCAATAAAACTGAGTTATACGATTTCGTCAAAAAGCATACTGCAGGAAAAGTGGTTAACTTGTAGTGACATTGGACAATAGCCACACAATCCACAAAGCTGTGAACACGAGACTACTCAGAAAATAGATATTCAATATTTAACGCGGAGAAATACCTAACAATGGAGAAGGCGCAAACAATGAATTGGAGGAATTAGAGTTGATCAAACGGCATGGCTCGGCCATGCAGGCGTGGTCTCTGCTGAATGTTACCTTAAATCTTCTATTCATATTAAATATATTGTTCTTTCTCTAGCCTAACCTTGTTCTACATCATGTATTGGTAATTGATACGATACAGTGAGTTGGCGTAGTCGATGGTGTGACTTCCACGTAAGATCTTATAGATTAGGCAGTTATATCATGACAAATCTACAAACTTAGGATTAGGTCTATTATTAGAGCAGCACTAATATCATAGTAGACCATAACTCTACAAACTTATTGCATAATTTTTCTAAACATGAAAACCCTAATAAGTACTTGACCATGGTATGATCCAAAATATTTTGCCCAAAACCATTTATTAATTGATCGTATCAAGCTACTAAACATATCTTCAACCAAAAACGTTCATATAGTATATATACAACCAGTCCAAGTGAAAAAAATATATTTATAAGAAGTACTACAAACGTAGTAAATTAACCAGGAAAATTAATAAAACTCGTCGTTATTGAGAGTGTTAGTTGTGTGGGGTCATATTATATGCTCACAGAGGATTTGTTCGATGTTTCATTCCAACTTTTTTAAATTGTCGACCATCAGTGGTAAAATCTAAGTTGTTTAATTCAACAGGCGAAGCTTGTTCACATCACTCACATTAGCTGATGATTCTTCGTCCTCTGATGTGACTTAACCTTTTTTACGTTTTCGAATAATATCACTCAGCAACTGTTTAGGAATATTTTGTAGATTATCCGGTGTATCTGAAGAAATGAACTGATATTCACTTTTATAAACTATATTTATTCAACATGCATACTATGAAACAATAAACGTTGTAATTTATAGATCATTCCTGCAAAAATAGTGTGTACCTGCCATTGCGGAAGTATATTATTATTACCATTATTTTACTAGTAATCTAGACTCCTAATTTCTACTGTGTTCAGACGGATTTATATGCTTGGGAGGCATGCTTTTATCGGCGAACATATTATCACTTTGAAAGAACTTTGATAAAGCTTACGACTAAATCAATAAGAATATCATAGCTCTTACTACTAACAAACGCAGAATACTAATGGTGAACAGAAGCGATTTTATTTCCAACCCAACATTCTGAGTGGTTTTAGTACCACACCTTTTGCCATTAAAAGGGGACATGGCATCATCCTCTGTGATGCTTCAGCTTTTTCTTCCTGTTAGCGTTGTATGTGCAACAAAGTTCATCTTGTAGGGCCAGCGAAATGTCACTAAGCCCTAGCCAAATCATCCGGCAGTCGGGTCATTGAATATCGGGCAAATCATCGATCCTCGTCAAGGTCAGGGACAACCAACCCGCATCAGTTAATGATATGCCATGGACTGGCGCATGCGGCAGTGGTCTTACTTTCGTTTGTATCTACTTTAATTAATATATTTCTGTAATAACGTTCTCCGTGTTGTACAGTCTTCAAAGCATCTGTAGTACCTTGATACGTCAATGGGGTAGTCCACGAAAGGTGCCCACCACGAGGTGTGACTTCAACGTTAGGTGGTTCGTCACACCATTCCCGTCTAATTCGAGTAGGTCTCCAATCATTTTCAACATAGATCATCTACGTTGGTGATCTGCAATCCACTCGCAGAGATTTCTTTCCAGAATGGGAGATAGCTATTTAAAATAGCCTTTAGCGTTTATTTTAGAACTGAACTGAAAAATATATTGGGTCATATCGCCTTATCTTAAAAAGGATATAGTTCTCTGGGAACACATTTAGGTATGGGAAACTGGAAAGATGCATGGACTACGAATCGAATCCAATCCATAGAGTCTAGATTATCAACATGTACAATGCAGAGGATGATAGAGACATTATCTTGATATATAATATCAATAATAGTCCTCCACACTGCAACAGATAACTAATAAGTTTTAATATCGAATATGTAATTAGTATAGGACGCGAACTTCTTCATGGTTAGAACCACTAACTTGTGGAGCTCCTTACTATAAAAAGCACCTTCTCGAAAGTCCTGCAAAAAACGGGTTCAACGTTGATAGTGGGGACGAATACTCTAAACGCAGTATTTTTGCTTGTGTCTAAATATCTTAAGCATACCTTACATCTATATTTCATGTTTAAGTGTCGACATTTCAGTGACCTTGTCTCTAGTTGGTGTCAAGGAAAGTGATGAAATATAGACTGGAAAATAACCTTGTGCACATTCGTCGACTTCACCACGTTAGTGAGTGGCGAAATAAACTAAGCCAAATATGGCCATGCTTTGGAAATCTATGCTTACGCCTCGGTTAAAACAGACGAATAACAGGAGACGAAAATTGTAGGAAGCAAACGTGCCTACAAGTAAGACTACTCGATGGAAGCGTTAATATAATCCGCCATACACAAAAAGACATGAATTCGACAAAATAGTAGGTGTAATTTGCAGACGAGAACAAATAGGAAGTGTAAGTATAGAGCTAACAAGGACATGAGTGATAGAAGTCCATGTGTAGAAGGTAACAATTGTTTATGTAGAGAATGGAGCTACAGGGAGAACGACGACACCGTTATAGTCAAGATCTGTTTGAATTATTCAGATGTGTACAGGGTATAACATAAGATCACACAGAAGTTATAACAAAAGGCTAAACTAAACGTATTCCCATTATCATATCGAAGAACTAGAAGTGACCTGATTACAGTTTTCAAATTACTTAGTGGTAGACTTACACTTGGTTTGTCCTCACTCTTCTTGTCTTCCGAAACAGAGGATTTACGAGAACACTCCAAAAAGGTTCACAAACCCAGAACAAATTACATGTCAGGTGACTATCGACTTTCCCATCGAATGACCAACGAGTGGAATTCATTACCTTAACACATGGTTGAATCTCTAACTTTCGACTCTTTAAAAATAAAGTTGGATCAACTGGGAGACCATCAATAACAGGACTAACACAAGCCATCCAGCCTCCTGTCCTTTCCAGAGTGGAATTGAATAACGCCATCGGTATACAACTAGTTGACCCAAATATCGTATGCGATATTAGGTAGAAAACTATTCGCCAACCGAAAAATGTATGGATTATGAGAAAATAATCTTACCACCCAGACTTCGATCTCAAGGAACAATTATTTCGTTATTTATGCTTTACAAAGTTCGAAGTTTGTTCAATAAACTGGTCCGCCCGTTTCAAGTTTGGCCTTGGCGCCATTTAGCCTATTGTCTCTAAATCACTCTTCATATGAAATGAGATAGAATGAGTCGTAAGAGTTAGTCAAACGTCTTAATAGAATTTTATTAGAGAAAGATGCGAACAAAGTGGTGACGGTTGTTGCCTACTTGTGTCAAGGTGACAAGTCAAAGGAAATATCGTACACGGATGCCAAAGTCATAGGGAACGGATCATTCGGCGTTGTGTATCAAGCCAGACTCCTGGAAACTGATGAAATAGTCGCTGTAAAAAAAGTTCTTCAGGACAGGAGGTTCAAGGTGATCATTTCTTCAGTCTTGTATCCCCCTTTATTTTGTGGATAGTTTTTATCATTCATGTTTTGTTATGTAAAACTATTTTTTTAAATAGATGATAAGTATGTGTTCAAACAATCTACACAAACTCATCAACACTCATCACACATCGCTAGCAGCCAGCATATATAGTCTTCAGTATGCCAGTTATGTTGTCCTTCCCTAGTATATTTATGTGCGAATACGACCACCGAAAATAAGTCATTTAAATGGGTAGAGACCACTTCCAGGAGTTCGTCCAGATGGATTGAGTCCAAAGGTATTCAAGGATCGTCGTCCAGTTTTAGCTAAAATAAAGGAGTTGGATGTAATCCCATGTGACTGGTTGCAATCATTGATTGTCCCATTATATAAGGAGGGGTCAAAATCATCCAATGATAACCATAGAGGGATTAGTTTAACTAGTATAACATCTAAAATACTAGCCTCAATTGTTGTCGGACGCTTAACAAAGACTCGTGAACTGCAAACACGAGAAAATCAGGCTGAGTTCAGACCTGCTCCTGGCTGCATCGACCACATATTCGCCATTCGTCAGATCCTAGAACACAGACATGCTTAACGGCACCCGATAACGGTGGTCTTTCTTGACCTAAAAGCAGCATTTGACTCCGTAGACCGAGGAATTCTGTGTCAGTGTCCGTCATTGAAAGGCGTACCTCAGAAGTACATAAGCCGTGTGAAGGCTCTTTACTCGAACACTTCTAGTCGAAGATGATTGGAAGAAAGTTAGAGGCGACCAAACCAAAACATGGCAACAGTCCTTGAAGTTACTAGCTTCTGGTCTGAGCCATGTTGTTAGATGCAAACTACTTGGTTGGGATCCGTGCGACTATCGTATTAAGTGGTTGGAGACTGTGGATGACATGGCTCAGAATCGATCACAGTGGTGCCGGTGTATACACTCTCTGTCTTCCTCTAAGCAGTGAGATTAAAATTAATTAACACATTTTCTACGAACTGATTTTTCCCTTTGTATGATATTTTTATATGAAATCATTGTTTGCTACCATAGAAATGACTACTTTTATGAATTTGGTGTTCATTTTGTTATGCTTATGTGGTACGGCAACCTGACTTAATTACTTACGCCTGTTACTCCTCGTGAAGGAGCATAGGCCACTCACCAGCATTCGCCATCCAACCCTGTCCTGGGCAATCCTTTCCAGCTCCTTCCAGTTGTTATTCATCCTTTCCAGATCTGCTTTTATTTCCCGACGCAATGTGTTCTTTGGACTTCCTCTCTTCCGCTTCCCTTCAGGGTTCCAAGCCAGGGCTTGCCTCGCGATGCAGTTTGATGATTTGCGTAATGTATGTCCTATCCATTTCCATCGTCTTTTCCTAATTTCTTCAGCTGGAAGCTGGTTTGTTCTCTCCCACAAAAGGTTGTTGCTGATGGTATCTGCCCAATGGATGTTGAGTATCTTGCGTGGACAACCATTTGTAAATACTTGTGCCTTCTTGATAGTGGTTGTTGTAGTTCTCCAAGTTTCAGCTCCGTACAGTAGAACTGACTGTCTTGACGTTCGTATTGAGGATTGTGACTTTGATATTGGTTGAAAGTTGTTTTGAGTTCCATATGTTCTTCGATTGCAGGGATGCGGCCCTTGCTTTGCCAAACCTCGCCTTTACGTCTGCATCTGAACCTCCTTGTTCATCGACGATGCTTCCCAGGTGTGTGAAGGATTCTACGTCTTCCAGAGTTTCGCCATCAAGAGTGATTGGATTGCTGTTCTCCGTTTCGAATTTGAGGACCTCGGTTTTCCCCTTGTGTATGCTGAGGCCTACTGATGCAGAGACTGATGCTACACTGGCTGTCTTTATCTGCATTTGTTCGTGTGTATGCGATAGGAGGGCTAGGTCATCTGTGAAGTCCAAATCGTCTAATTGATTCTGAGCTGTCCATTGTATTCCGTGTTTTCCTTCAGATGTTGAGGTCTTCATAATCCAGTCGACCATCAGAAGGAAAAGGAAGGGAGAGAGTAGACAGTCTTGTCTGACTCCGGTCCTTACTTCGAATGCATCTGTCAGCTGTCCTCCATGCACGACCTTGCACTGTGGTCCATCATATGAGTTCCGGATAATATTGACAATCTTCTCAGGAACTCCATAGTGTCGAAGTAGTTTCCGTAACGTCCTCCTGTCTACACTGTCAAATGCCTTTTCATAATCGATGAAGTTGATGTACAGTGACGAGATCCACTCAACTGATTGTTCGACGATGATCCGTAGTGTTGCAATTTGGTCTGTGCACGACCGATCCTTACGGAATCCAGCTTGTTGATCTCGGAGTTGAAAGTCTACTGCGTCTTTCATCCGGTTCAGCAACACTCTGCTAAGGACTTTCCCTGATATTGACAGTAGTGTGATTCCTCTGTAGTTTTCACATTTGCTCAGGTCTCCTTTCTTTAGAATCTTGATGAGGTGTCATTCTTTCCAGTCCATCGACACTTGTTCCTCCTCCCAAATCTTTTTGAATAGAAGGTGAAGCATGTTTGTAGTTACTTCGATGTCTAGCTTCAGTACTTCAGCTGGCACATTGTCGGGTCCTGCTGCTTTCCCGGTCTTGATTTGTCTGATGGCCATCCTGATTTCTTCCGTCAATGATGGATTGACATCTATAGGAAGATCTGTGTGCCGCCTCCCTGTACGGTGGATTCATTGTAGCCGGCCTATTCAGTTCTTCGAAGTACTCTACCCATCTGTTCCGCTATTGTTGAATTTCAGTAATTGACCTGCCTCCTTTGTCCTTGACCGGTGTCTTTGGTTTACTATATTTCCCTGCTAGTATCCTCGTTGTATCGTAAGGCTGTTTCATATTTCCTTCTCTAGCAGCTTTTTCTGCTGTCGTTGCTAGTTCTTCCACGTATTTCTGCTTGTCGGCTCTAATGCTTCTCTTCTCTTGCTTGTTTGCTTCTATGTATTCAGCTTGTGCTTGGACTTTCTCTGCTCGTGTTCGGCTGTGGTTAATTGCTGTCTTCTTGTTCTTACCTTCTTTGATCTTGTCCAGTGTTTCTATAGAGATCCATTCATTATGATGATGCTTCTTGAGGCCCAGAACCTCTTGACACGTTGAAGTTAATGCTTCTTTGATACCTTTCCAGTTGTCCTCCATACTAGTTTCTCTTTTCAGTAGATCATGTAAGGCTTGGAATCTGTTGTTGACAGCTATCTTCAATTTTTTTGAGTTTTTCAGTATCTCAAAGGAAGGCTGTATTAAACCTTTGTAGTGCTGTTTGTCCAGTTGTCCAGTTCTTCTTTAGCTTCAGTTTTAAATTGGCCACAACTAGATTGTGATCTGAAGCTATGTCAGCTCCTCTCCTGGTTCTCAAGTCTTCCATTGTCCTTCGGATTTTTTATTGATGCAGATATGATCTATCTGGTTCTCTGTAGTGTAGTCCGGTGAGATCCATGTAGCTTTGTTTATACAATTGTGTGGAAATATTGTGCCTCCTATGACCAATTTGTTGAATGCACACAGATTTGCAAGTCTTTCCCCATTTTCGTTTCTCTCTCCCAGTCCATGTCTTCCCGTGATATCTTCATATCCGGTGTTGTCTATTCCGACTTTGGCGTTTAGATCTCCCATCAGAATGGTGAGGATCTTTCTTGGGCACTCCTCTATGATTGGTTGCAGTCGCTCGTAGAATTGATCTTTAATGTCGTCGTTTCTATCATTGGTGGATGCATAACATTGGATAATATTCATTGTGATCCCCTCCTTCTTTGTTTTGAATGATGCTTTGATGATTCTGGATCCGTGAGATTCCCATCCTACAAGTGCATTTCGTGCTACTTTGGACAGCATAAGAGCGACTCCCTGAGTGTGTGGAGCATTTTCCTCTTCGTGACCGGAGTATAGCAGCATCTCTCACGTAGCTAGCCTTTTCTGTCCAGCTTGGGTCCAGTGGGTTTCGCTGATTCCCAGTACTGCTAAGTTGTATCTCCTCATTTCCGTTGCTATTTGACTGGTCTTCCCGGTCTCCCACATTGTTCGGACGTTCCATTTACCTATAAAAATCGTTGCTCTGGTTGTTAGAAGGGGCATCGGTCTCGTGGCTTCCGAAGGAACTCGGCTTTCACCATGAGGCGTCATAGTTCTTCTAAATAAAGACCTTCTAACTCCCAGGATAGAGTTTAAATGGTTTGAATTATTTTTTCTGGTTAGCGTTTTTTTAACAAGTTCGTTTTCTACGGGATGGGGTCGCTAACCGCATGCCCAACCCTTCTCTTTTACCCGGGCTTGGGACTGGCAGTAACTCTAGAAGAGCTACAGGCGAAGTTACGGCAACCTGGACCGATGTATATATGTGCCTGGTCCATGGTTGTAGCTGACTGACACAACTGCTAACGGAATTTCAATGAATACACTTTATAACAATATGTAAGCTAAATTCGGTCGACAATGTTATCCACTGCAGTAAAATTTGGTGTTCAGTCTTTTTTTCGGAATGTTTTATTGTGTTTTGGTTCCCTCATAATAGGAAACCCAGTCAACAATACTAGTTTGATATAGGATTTATTTGTAGAACAGACGTAAGTACGTATAGTAGTCAACATATGATTGAGATATATACGAGACTCCGAATCAGACTATCCACTTCCTCTTAGAGACGAATTACAGTAAAATCAGTTTGCATATAGTGACAAATCAAGTTCTTTGCTTTAATTAATATTTTCTGAGTAATTTTTCTTTTGAGAACTTGTGGATAGCAATGGCTTATCAGTGTTGATATTTAATCATCCTTCTACCCAAAATTAACTTCGTTATTTATTTTCAGAATCGAGAATTGCAAATTATGCGTCAGCTGGACCATCCAAATATTGTGCAGTTAAAGTACTTCTTTCACTCTGTGGGTGACAGAGTAAGCTGTTATGTTGTTTTTAAATATATCGTTATTATTGTATTTTATTTAGGATTTAGTTTCATGCTTTTGGTTTACATCTCATTCGTTCTGTTGTGTTCTTATTGATTTTTCGTATTGGTTAAAAGCGTAACTGTTGAAATCCAGTGATCGTATTATCAGTTCTATTTTGTATGAATTTTCCCATACGCACAGCTCAATTAGTCATTACCAACGTCAAAACCAAGCACAAATGTGTATCAGTCTGAGTTGCCTCGTCTCATCAGTATATCAAGTTTAAGAATCATAGTTGATAGTGTTAGTGGTAGTAAAAGTTGATTATAGTTCAAAAACAGGGGAAACCGAGGAATGGAAAGTATAAAATAGTATAAAAATCCGAATTTTGAAGGAAGATGACAAATGAATGCATATATGTCACTGCAGTCGATCGTTAACCATGTAATATAAAATTCCCAATTACTGATTGTGGTTACTGTTCGAAATCCAACCCGGTAATCCGTAGCTGAGGAAAGCTGAGATAAATAATCACTGGCTTCATAAATTTGTCACCGGTTTTGGTCCAACAGTACCGAGAGATATCTGATGTTGTAGTTCATTATGTGTATGAAATAATAAAGATTAAATAGTCCTTGAAGAACCAACTAGTTAACTAGGAGTCATTAACGTGTTATGCAATTATTTCGGCATAAAACGAAGCGTTATGTTAACTTGATATTAACGCTACAGAAAAAATGGTTATTTAGTCAGCCATATTTAATATCGGGCGTAGTACGAATGTACGTCAACTTGCGTTGCTACAATGCATCATCACGGTATGGTGAAATTCACAAGATGAATTGTAAAAGAGTCCAGATATTGGCGACATCAGTTATATTGAGAAACATTAAACATGGAAAGTAAAAGAATAATTCAAGGAATAAAAGACATGAAATAATATAAAACTTCGAGAAAAGGTAGTGTAAAAACATGTGCACTAATAAGACTTATTCTAAACCAAACCACCCAAATTGAGGTACTGATTGCGGTTATCGCACGAATGTCAACTAAGTTTGCACCTCCCGACAGGTTTCAGTCTTACAATCACTGTCTTCATCGACTTATGTCACATATTAGTGTGATCCTCCTTTGGCATAGGTAACACTTTCTAATCATCTCATTCGATGGAGATTCAGTCTCATCGATCGACTTAACTGGTACCCTATGCCTAACCTCAAAATGACTCATCGTACACAGGCGATGCTTCAAAGATACTCATGATAAAATACTTGCTACCTGCATATGTCATACTTCAATAGGCTATGTTTCATACTAGTAACCTACGAATAATCTTAAAGATCACGTCTCAGCTATAATATATAACAAAGCGAACTGCTACAAAATGTACTCGCATCATCATTGGAGACGAACATTTCGTCGGTGATACAAGTGACGGGAGTTGAAAAAAGTCATGCGAAATTCCTGAATCCATATAGGTATTTCATCCAACACCAACCCACAAGCCACCAAATGCTCAGGCACGGCCGAGGGTGAGGAGCGCTAGCTCTCCCTCTCAAAATGCTCTCATATGGCCACGCGTATACAACTACTTCCAGGGAAGTCCCACTCACCGCTTTCTCTCAGCGAGGGTGTTGTTTAACGAAATTAAGAGGACAAAAAGCGGATTTCTGTCGCTTTAACAGGGTTGATGGATCCACCTAGGGCAGTTGGATAACCTTGATTTCAAACCAGTGGCGTACATGGGCTTTAGGATCCTAAGGGAACAAATGGCGTATGAACCTATTGTTGGTCACCGGCTACCATGGGACTGCATCTCCTAACGTTACTCCGTTGCCTTATGGATTAAACCTGTGGGTCAAAGGCTTGGAGTGTGTCCACTTAAGATAACCACCTGCTTCGAGTTGGACACCCGGGCAGTACTCCAGCCCTCACACATCAAATGATTTGTGGGGCGCATATGTATTTGGTGCCTTCTTGTATCAGTGTTTGTGTTTAAATAAAGAAATATCCCACAAGAGCTAATGTTACCTCCAGGATAAGTATTCTCGATGCTCTCAGTCACTTCACTCCATAATCAATCTAGCCACTAACTCGGAACAGTCTTAAAACAACATGTGGTACTTAGAAGGCGAGAAACTTATCTTAAAAATGTTTGGATTGTTACTCAAGGAAAGGTTTGGTTCTTACCTGCCAAATTACGTAAGTACACACATATAGGTTGTTTACAAGTTTTCGTAGTGGGAGTCAAAACACGAAGCGCACGTAAGTTATTTGGAATCGGCTACATATTTTGGGGAGTGCAAAGGTTAGTTGAATTAGTTTCAGTTAGTCTTCCTTCTATTATAATGTGATTAATTTTCAACTGTTTTTACCAACTTTCCCCAGAAAGATGATGTCTATTTAAATTTGGTCCTTGAATTTATTCCGGAAACCGTATATCGTGTTGCCCGAAGATATGCCCGTCAAAAGGAAACAATTCCTCTTTTATTTGTAAAGGTAATTTTTATTTTTTAGTAATTTTATTCCTGTCAACATCAATCTCGCACCTTTCATGGATTTATTCAGTTTTTTATAAAATTTCGTTACAGTAGTAAAATGTTTCCATAACCATCATAACCTGTGGATCGATTGATTTAATTGATAGTCCATTTCATATCTGCTTGTAATTTTTTCGGGGCTAATATTGTCTTAATCCACCCACTCAGCCTTTTTCCAACTCCAGTCAATCAACTCAGCGCGTCCGTAAAGGTGTACATGACACATGTCCTAATAGTCTTAATTGATAAGGATTCACAGCCTCGTCATATGCTTTGTCATTTATAGATGGTGTTATCTAGTAAACTAATCTTAGCATTACCCACTCGATGGTTCTGTCATACACGCAAAATTCTTCGAAAATACTTATTTCGGATACTAGTAGCCTGAAAGTATTTTGTACTACCATAATTTGTTCCGCTTGCGTAAAGCAATTCAAAACGGACTGGTTCACGTTATGCGTATCTTTGATGGGCAGTTGGACAAACATTTTTTCCCATAGATGACCTGGGTTGACTAAGGTCATCAGACAGTTCACTAACCATCAACCCTCTAGAGTTGAAAAGACCCTCAATGACAGTGATGTGATCAAGTTGCTCAACTTATTTAGTTATATTTAAACTAGACAATAACATAAAGGAGTTTTGAAGTGGCTTTTTGCATTTGTCACGCAAGGTGCACAGAACAGTGAACTTATCAGCGTCTTTTTCAAGTAGAACTAAACTATCTAACTCCCAAATTAACTAATATCTCAGTCAAATAGATAATTATAAACTGCTATTTTCAAAGACTTCTGGAATTGACTCATCAATGTCTACTGCCTTCACTAAAATTTTAAAACTGGGTCCACTGTCATATTTTAGGTAGTTGGTTAATAGCGGGGATCATTTGTAAACGTAACGAATCGCAAATTTTTTTAGCCTTATGTTATAGTAGCATTAAATGTTATTATCACAAATTTGTCATTTCTGCTCCTTCTTGAGTCTTCTTTTTCACCCTATTTATCTCCAAGTAAATATGATAGTTGAAGAATTTTGTGGCGATATGTAATTTAAGTTCTCATAATGTATAAGTAAGCTTTTAAAATTACGAATATTTTCTTCCGTTTCCGTTAATCCTTTTTTCTCGTTTTTATCTCGATGGTTTAGCCAGTAAACTTTCATTTAAAATAATACCACTAAACAGCCTGTAGGGTCTCAACATGTTTGTTTGGGTTTAACAATACAAACATTTTTAAAGTACACAATTAATATGACAATTTACAACGTACAAAATGACCTCATGATAACTAATGTGTACATTACTTTTACAAACAATGCACGTTTTATAGGTGATGCAAATTCATGGATAATGGGGTTGAAATTTCCCGATCTTGAACAGTTACATTCTTAAGATCTGTAACGCGGTGATTAATTAACTTGCTTCTTAATTCACATAGCGTTACAATGAACAACATCCTATCAGTAGTTGATACACAGTTCATACGAATTAGTACAGTTCGAAAATTTATGTTTAATTGTTCGTTTACGTATAGTTCGTATTAAATTCTCATTTTTATTGCTATAGCAAATAATTTTACCCTTTTTTATTTGTACTTTATTTTATCTAAATTTATTCTATTCACCTTGAAAATACCTTTGAATTACCTTTTTTATCATACCCTTCTCTACTAATCAAGGTTTTTCCACACTTTCTTATGACTACTTTTCTGGACAGGAAAAAGTACATGTACATGTACCAAGAACGTGCATGTACAGTTATTTTCCTAGGTTATGTGCATTTAAATTTGATAGCATGTAATCCTTTGATTTAATGAAAGCAAACAGTTATTATAGAAAAATTTCACGTATTTTAATAACAACTGAGATAGACAGTTGTTATATAGCACGCTCCATCATCTCAGTTGGTGTACGTTTATGATCTCATCTAACTTCCATGCTCTTGCATATATATCAACTCTTAACTAACTAATATGCTTTACTATTATTAAAGGTATTTGAAGTAACCTATTTAACGTCTTTGTTTTTATATGCTTCACTCTTTTTCTCGAATTCATCCTCTATCGGATTTAAGGAACTAACATTGATTTATCGTTTAGATTGTCCCAGTCATAAACCAATCGAATTTCTCATGGTCAAGATTACGTCAACATATATTGGGTATATATGATGCTGTGGTGATATTTTTCTAAGGATTAGTTGTGAAGAGTTTTATGTTACTCTTACTCAATATAAACTCTTCGAGCAGAGAATGTTTGATAGCTTTTTCAACATTATTTACCAAGAATGTTTTGAAATAGAAATCTCCCATTTTGCTAAGGTCATCCTTTCACTTTATGTTAAACAATTAACGTTTAGTTGCAATATTTTACTAAAAATATCCTCATTTTTCTATATGATGGAGATAAATCACACCTGATAAAATAATTAACTTTCACAATTAACTTTAAGAATGACTGAACACATTTTCATTCGTCCATATTTGATTAATTATATTTTGATAATGATGATTAAATTCAGACATGTTACACAAGTTAATGTTGATTTTTTCATTGCCATATGAAAATTGTACTTCTCACTGATATCATACTAAAATATGCTTTTTATTTTTCTTCACCTTAATATTTGTGTATTCTAATATTGTAAAATGTGATTAAATAAACAAAAGGTATAGGATTCTAAACGTTATGGTACGAGTAAATACGTGAAATAAATAGCGGAGTCTATCACCTGTAAACAAAAACGTTGCCATACGCTACTTTTGTTTCTGAATTCTCGTAAACTTCAGTTTATGTTTTCTTTTCCAGCTATATATGTACCAACTTTTCCGAAGTTTGGCTTACATACATCATAAAGGTATTTGTCATCGGGATATAAAACCCCAAAATTTACTTTTAAATCCAGCAACAGCTGTTTTGAAATTATGTGATTTCGGAAGGTTAGTTTACTGTATATAAGATTTTATTCTCGTGTAGTAGTTTGTGTGATTTTCTGACAAATTGACTTGAGTAAAAGCTGCAATATGGCCTATGATTGTATCTAACAATTCATTGAGAAAATGTTGAATAACCAATGTGTCATGTACACTTACATGGTGTACATTCAACATTATTTGTGTTCCCTTGTATATGTTACTACGTCATCTCAAATAAGGCAGATCTCCAGTCACCTTGAAAGGGGAATAACTCATTTATGGATGATGTATCCTGTATTGTTAGACAGGAATAATAAAACATTGCATAATGAAACCAAACTTGAAGTTGTGCATCGCAACTAGAAACGCTTTTTTTATCAGTGCACGTTGTTTAGTAACTGAACTTATTTTTGAATTCTGTTTCAACTGAATTATACTGGGGCGCATTAATTAAAAGATGGGATATGAAATGAAGTATTTGTGTTCACCATATTCTCTGGTAAAATCAATGTCCTAATTTGTTGCCTGCAGAGCATTTTCATCTCTTTCGCTGAAATTGATACAGGCTATTTCATTTAAGACTTGAAAATAACTTGTTTTTATAGAATTTATTACTCCATACTAAGGGTTTTCTACTTATAGATTTCATTACAACTGTAATTAGTTAATTATTTTATCTCTTTAGTGCGAAGGTTTTAGTTCGCGGTGAACCTAACGTTTCTTACATATGTTCCCGTTATTACCGGGCTCCTGAATTGATATTTGGTGCTGTGGATTACACATGTCAGATTGGTAAGTGCAATATTCTGTAGGAAAGACTTCATTTTTAAATTTATCGGATCATCGGTTTTAAGCGGTCATTGAACAAGTGGTTGAACTACGTAGAATAGGTTCTGCTTGCCAATGACTGAGTAATACTCCATTCATAGCATTTCCTCATACTAGATATCTTCCGAATTTAGTGATGAAAACTAAACAGTATTAGAGTCAATGAAGAGATCCAGTTATTTGTATAAAAAAAATACAATTTAGGGCGAAATAAACACCTTTGTAAACAAGCAGGTTAAACTACAGATAGCTCTGTTTCTAACTTTGAATGCTCAATCTACAAGCTTAGTCTTTTCTCAGCTAATTTCTATGAAGGCAGTTTGTTGAAAGAAGTAATACGTCACTTAATTTCTATCTCGTAAAAAAGGATTTAGAACAAAGATATAGCACTTCTAGCTGTTTAGCTGGTGACATTATGTCCCCAAACACTTGGTCACCTGTTCACTAAATATCGTGCACAATTTTTAGGAAGTAAATCACACGTTAGTATAACGAATTGCAAACCAGTTTAGCTAGGCTTCTTAAAGTTTGGTATTTTCAACTAAGCCTTCCGTAACATACTCCATAATCATCTGGGATTAAGCCTAACTTCAGCTGGTTTTTGTTATAATGTATATATTATCGTTTTGAAACACGGGCTTCTGTGAGTTGAACACGTATTGCACACGTCATCCTGACGGTTTCCATAATGAGAACATTTTGCTATAATTACTGTTTGCTTCAGCAATGAAAAGTTATTAACTTTGAAAAGCTATGTTGACTTAGCTTTTATTGGCGCACCACAACTTTATCCTACTATTGGGATCAGTCAGTCAGTCAGCTACAACCTTGGACCAGGCACATATATACATCGGTCCAAGTTGCCATACCTCATTAGCACAGCAAGATGAACACCGGATACACAGAAGTAGTTCCTTCGATGGTGGTAATGTATAAGAGATTGTGCATAAGGATATAGTACAGGAAGAAAGAATTAGTTGATAGAAAAAAGATATGAAGCGATTTTAATCTCATAGTTTAAAGGAAGACAGAGAGTGTATACACCGACACCGCTGTGATCGATTCTGAGCCATGTCATCCACAGTCTCCAACCACTTAATACGATAGTCGCACGGATCCCAACCAAGTAGTTTGCAATTACCAACATGGCTCAGACCAGAAGCTAGTTTTTTCAAGTACTTTTGCCATTTTTTGGTTTGGTCGCCCCTAACTTTCTTCTAATCATCTCCAACACTAGTCAGCATTGCGCGCCGTGCTAATCGGTGTTCAGGCATTCGTAACGTGTGGCCCAACCATCTTAGTCGATGAAGACTCACAACCTTGTCAACTGATTTACTATCATTTTATTAATACCCCGCATCCAAACTCACTATTACGTACCCAGTGATCTCAGCAGGTACCAGCAATATTTCTGAGACATCTTTGATCAAATATTGGTGACTTACGAATATCCTCTACTCATAATGGCCACGTCTCGTAGCTGTAAAGTAGAACAGAACGAACTGCCGCACAGTATACTCGTCCTTTAATTAATAGACGGATATCTCGCCTTCGCCATAATTCATGTATGTTGGCAAAATTCGAACGAGCTTTTTGAGTCGGCGCTGAGATTTCGTCAGACACCATCTGATCAGACTTCCAAGATAAGTGAAGTTGTCGGCGTGTTCGACTACTTCACTCCCTATCCTTAGTTTGGGTGTTGACACAGGTCAGTCCTGAAGCAACAACTTGCATTTAGAGGGGGATAAACGCATCCTAAAAACCTTGGCATTGTTGCTCAGTGCTACCAAAATACTCTGCATTTTATCAGCGTCTTCATCAAACAGAACTATGTCTTCTGCGTATTCTAAGTCAATAAGTAGACCTCCTGGTTGGAGATCGATGTCCGAAAATTCAGTCAACGAGAACGTTGTTTCCATTAGTATGTCCATTGTGAAATTGAACAAAAATGGAGAAAGTGTACAGTCTTGACGGACGCCACTTGAGGTTGAAAAAGCAGGTGACAGTTCACATAAGCTCTGACTCGACTAGTAGTGTTCGAGTAAAGAGCCTTCACACGGCTTATGTACTTCTGAGGTACGCCTTTCAATGACGGACACTGACACAGAATTCCTCGGTCTACGGAGTCAAATGCTGCTTTTAGGTCAAGAAAGACCACCGTTATCGGGTGCCGTTAAGCATGTCTGTGTTCTAGGATCTGACGAATGGCGAATATGTGGTCGATGCAGCCAGGAGCAGGTCTGAACTCAGCCTGATTTTCTCGTGTTTGCAGTTCACGAGTCTTTGTTAAGCGTCCGACAACAATTGAGGCTAGTATTTTAGATGTTATACTAGTTAAACTAATCCCTCTATGGTTATCATTGGATGATTTTGACCCTTTATGTATTATTTCTGTAGTTTTTTTTCTGGACTTAAATTCTTAATCGTTTTTTCGATTATAACTCATTTGTTTGTGTCTGCAGATGTTTGGTCAGCTGGTTGTGTACTTGCTGAACTTTTGTTAGGTCAGCCAATTTTTCCTGGCGAAAGCGGTGTAGACCAGCTTGTTGAAATTATAAAAATCTTAGGTACCCCTTCCCGCGAACAAATTCACGAAATGAATCCTGACTATCGGGAATTTAAATTTCCACAGATTAAACCTCATCTCTGGTCAAAAGTAAGATATTCTTTGTGGTTTTTTGTTAAAGTTATCTTGATTTCTAATACGATTAATCAGTTTGAGATTAATGGTTTGTGTGTTCCACATATTTCTTGTCCCTTTGAATTATATATTTTATTTCTTGTCGAAGATAAAACAGAATAGACACAAAGTTGATATTGTTTTACTGCTACCTACGTTGTCTCATATTTTACTATTATGAACTGGTGATAACTGCAGCAATGATTTAAAATAGACATAACTGTCTGTTTCATGTATTATCAGAGCTGATTTATGCTATGACGTTTGGGATATTCGTTTCTCTAGATCTAATCGATAGTTTACCATCACTCCAAAATCAGGAATTTAATATGTAAAATATGCATTTGAACGCGAAGCTAATTCTTTCAACTGTTTCAGTACAGTTACAGCGATGTATAGATTAGAAACTCTCTTATCAATAAATATAATGCGCTTGCATTTCTGTTAATTGAACGAGTTTAAAAATATTGTTCTTGTTACTGGACAGATAAAAACACTTGACAAGTTTTTGTAACTTGCGGGTATATAACATCGGTGAAAGTTGTAGACCTTAAAGTTATGTTGTTTACCAAAACGAAGGATAGCCTTACTGCTATAGGCAATTAAAGTTTAGTCATTTCATTTTTTATGATCGTTCGTTTAATATTTATTATTATGAAAGCTTTTAAGTTCGAATATGCAGAGTTTGTGATCCCATGGAAATTCTGATTGTTCAGTGAGAAAATTACAACAGAGGTTTCTAAACACCTCGACGATCAACTTAAAAAGATAATGATATGGTATATATTACTTATTGAAGGCTATCACTCCCCTTGGGACATAGATCACCGAATAGGGATCTCCAGTCAATTCTATTCTGGGTTCTACTTTCCAGTTGTTGTCAAGATGTCTTCATGATCTTGATGTCTGACTCCAATTCCTGATGCTACGTATCTTTGGTCTGCCTCTTCTCCATTGGCCTTAAGGATTCAAATTTATTTATTATTTATTTATTTATTTGAAAACAAATATTGGTACAAGAGGGCACCAAATATATGCGTCACACAAAACAATGAGGATTCGAAGAGAAAAAAAGAACAATAACGAACAGATTAGTGTACGATAGTGTAATAATAATAATAATAATAATAATAATAATAATAATAATAATAATGGGGGAAACGGAAAGGTACAATCAGAAGAAATCTCTCAGTTAAGGAAGAAACAACCACTTTTTACGAAGAAAGTAAAAGAAGGTTACAACAGGATCGCCACTGGCTTCTATTCTGAGCCATATCTGATAACGTCTCTAGCCACTGTGTTGCATCATCTCTCGGACCCCAACCAGGGAGTCGTGAAGGATCAACACAAGTCAGTCCTTTGCAGCGTTCTTTCATGCCACGACACCATGTCATGCACTGACCACCTCTCCGCTTCTTCCAACCAGTCCCAGCGTCGGCAAATTATGCACGACGTGGAATTCGCTGGGACGACATCCGTGGAACATGTCCAAGCCACCGAAGTCGATGTTTCAAGATGGTGACACCGATTGCATTATCATCTCTGTGCCTGAACACACGATGCCGAACCTCTGCATTACTAACACGGTGTTGCCACTGGATGTCAGCAATCCTCCGGAGGCAGTGATGATCGAACACAGAGAGTCGTCTAACATCCGAACGAAGTGAACTTTTTCCAAAGATAGGGACAACTATCGGCTCATTCCATGACGTTGGCACACTCTCGAGCTCCCAGACCTTTGTAAACAACGTCGTCAGTTCCTTAGTCAGAAAGTCACCACCATCTTTAAAAAGAGCCGGAGGTAAGTCGTCTGGACCAGGTGATTTGCAGTGCTTCAAGAGTGGGAGCTCCTTGAGGACTTCCGCCTCATTTGGTGGATCAGTCGTCACCGGCCATGGAGAGCAGGACAGTTCGATCGATGTTGCCGGAGCAGCAGGCCAGTTGAACTGCCCTTCGAAGAATTCTGCCCATCGTCCAAGACGTCGATGAATGTTAGTGATTGGCATCCCGTCATCCTCGCAGATTGTTTCGCTCACTCCAGACTTCTTGCTGCCAGTGGCTCGAATGAGTTGGAAGAGCCTCCGGTAATTACCAGATGCAGCTGCTGCTTCCAGCTCATTAGCACGCTCCGACCACCAGGCTTCTCGGTCCTTACACAAGCTTTGCCCGATTTCATTACGTAACATCCTTCGTTTGTGGTCAAACTCACGGTCACTCGGAGTAGACCGACGAGCGTCGATGAGTTGTAAGGAACCAGAAGAAACCCAGTGCTTATAAGCGGGACGTTTCGCGAACCCACAACTGACTGTACCCGCCATTTTCATGGCGTCATGCAATTGCAGCCAATGGTAGCTAGCCTAGAAACTAGCTCGGTTCGATACTTATTTGCAACAGAAGTTGCAACCAGCTCGCTAACATCAATCCGTTGGTGGTGGTTACTTCGTTGTCGCAGACCAAGCCATGGTCAGAGTCCAGATAGGTACTCCAAAAGGAGCAGCAGTCTTGTACACAACCACGCCAGCGGTAGCTGATCGCGATATGATCAATCTGAGTCCAGGCTTGAGATGCAGAGAGAGGACGCCAGGTGGCACATCGGCGATGACTGTGCCGGAAGTTAGTGCTAGCCAGAAACAGGTTGTGGTCTGTGCACAGTTGCAGTAGACGGTCCCCGTTATCTGTTCTGCGACCAACAAGTTCCCATCGGCCACCTAAACGATTCTCTTCTGTGCCTAGACGCCCGACCTGAGCATTCAAGTCCCCGGCTAGTACTACAATATCTGTCGAACTCACTTTCTGGAGAAGAACAGATAACTGGTGGTAAAACTCATCCTTGATTGTATCCGGGCTGCAATCTGTCGGGGCATGGGCGGAGATGACGAAAAGACATCGTTTCTCACGCCGATTTCTTCTCACTTTGATGGAACTTTCTAATCTAACAGCACATAACCGACTGTTTATGGCTCATTTATGGTGTAGTTTGATGATTTGAACAATGAGTGTTCCATTGACCTCCAGTATCTTTCCTTAATTTCCTCCCCAGTTGGTAGCTGGCTTGTTTCTCTGCCACAGTAGGTTATCGCTGCTTGTTTCTGGTCAATGGACCTAGAGCATTTTGCGTAGACAGCTGTCTATGAATATTTGTACTTTTTGGTGATGTTGCTGACAGTTTTCCAAGTTTTAGCTCCGTACAATAGCACTATCTTAAAGTTAGTGTTGGAAATTGTGATTGGTTTTGTGTGACAGTTGTTTTGAGTTACGGAAATTCTCTGATTGTAAGGATGCTGCCGTTCCTTCGCTAACTCGTCCTTTGATGTATTCATCAAATTCTCTATGTTTGTCATTGGTAGTGCTTAGATGCGTAATTTCTTCCACCTCTTCGAGAGATTCATGATCAAGTGTATTTTTTTGGGTCTTTATGCGTTGTATTATGGGATCTTGGTTTATCCATTGGGAATACTGAGGTGTACTGCTGCGGAAACCGCGGCTGTACTTTCGGTATTCGTCCTGCATTTGTTGCCGTGTGTGCAATAGAAGAGCTAAGCCATCTTCAAATAACCCAGCCGTGTCCAAGGTGTCCATTTTATCGCGTGCTTCACCTGAGATGTGCAAACCTTCATAATCCATTCCGTAACCAGAAGAAAGATGAGGGGCGAGAGTAAGCAGTCTCATCTGACACTGATCTTCTCTTGGAATGCATCTGTGATCTGCCTTCCATTACCCACTATGTACTTCAGTCTGTCGTAGAAGTTTCATATGGTGGTGACTATCTCTCCGGCCACTCCATATGAAGATTGTTCCATTAGGTTCACCTATCCACGCTGTTAATTGCTTTTCCATAGTCAAGGAAGTTGATGTATGGTGATGAGTTCTATTCACTTGATTACTCAACGAATGATCTGCAGTGTTGGGACTTGTTGTGTACATGATTTATCCTTACGAAAGCTGGCATGTTTATCTCGCAGTTGAGCGTCTGCTGAATTTTTCATTTGCTTCAACAACACTGTCAAAAACTCCGTCTGGTACTAGCATCAATGTGATGCCTCCATAGCTCTCACACTTAATAAGGTCTTATGATTGTTGTCTTGATGTGGCATCTCTCTTACCAGTATTCCGGTACTTGTTATTCCTTATAAATCTTTCTGAATAGAATAGCATTTTTTCAGTTTCCTCTACGTTTGACTTTAGTGAATCAGCTGATATGTTGTCAAGTCTTTCTGCTTTCCCACTCTTAATTTGTCTGATGGCCATGCTGATTTCTTCGTTTGCTGGTAGGATAAGGTCTGTGTGTGCTACTTCAATGTCCGATAGGTTCAGTAGTGCTACCCTGTTAAAGTGCTCTAAATGGTGGATGGCGCTTTTTAATAATCCATTTAATTAACCACTGTTATTATTAATGTGAAGCAATAACGTCGCATTTCGCGGTCAAAGATTCCATGTCTAATCTTTGCTTTTTCACTCTAAATATACACAATGATAAAAGTTGATTTCACTAGTGTTGAAATATGTGATAACACAATATATCCTGTATGCACAATCACTAATGAGTGGTTGTTCAGTTGAACACTATCTAAAAAGATTTTATGGGTTTTTTAGCTTGTGATTTCCTTGTTACAGGGTAGAATATCGTGTGAAGTTGTAGGCGACTAATAGATTAAGATTTATCAGCTTGATGTCTTGTAGTTATTTGGGAAAATCTCTAATCGATTAAAGCCACTAGAACAAAGAGTGAAATCTTAAGTCTAAACAAATCTGTTATTTCCTATGGGCCTGCCAATATATAAATTGTCAATTAGAAACACCGAATCAACCTCGACGCTGCGTCAAACCACTGACGCGTTAATCGGTACGAGCAATCTACAGTCAGCTCTGAGCTCTTATTGATCCTCTGAAATAGTAGCTTCTCGCCTAACTCAACCGATTCAGTCTAGAACGCGAATATCAGCCTCCGCTATATGAATCGTGTGTTTCTGACATACGAAGTTTATATACATGCAAATCAGACCGCATCATACCATAAAATAGTAGATTATAAGTATACAAGATCAAGCCAAAAGTGTCTGTGAGTGTGAGAATCTGTAACTAATAATATGAGAGTAATTTAAAAATAGTAAATCATATAATAGTAGTCAATAGGTCCAATAAAAGCTTATAATAAAAGGAACGTGAATATACATATAATATAGTTACTTAATAGTTATACAATTATATATATCATAAATAGATCCTAAGAGTTACCATTCACTTATTTTTCGTTCGGACATAACAATATCGTTCCTTATTTTGTTTGTAATTTTTGCAATGCATTGATTGGTTAGTGATGTTGATGATTGTTAGTATTAGAATCGTCATTTCCAAACACACATAGTGTATGTTATATATCCACTGAATATATGCTTGTACCTTAAACCCGTTTCGTTTGAACTAATGCTACTGCTCGCTTTCCAATCGGTTAATAAAAATGGATTATAAAAAGTGTAAGTTATATATGTTTAACTATCAATATAGATGCGGTCATAAAAAGTATAGATGTATGTACAAGTGGTGGTTTATTGGCTGAAGCGTTCGGCTTGCAGCTACTAAGTCTCAGTTTCGATCGCCGCTCCACCTACTTCGATTTAAGCTCTGGGTTAGTGTCACCAACTTTACTGTGTGGCTCATAACCATATTGACGTTTATAGATAAGAAAATCGTACGGATTACCCAAATATATTTACGTTATATTTTAGCGTAATAATACATAACAATTTGTATATTTCCAATATTACCACAGGAATTGTTTCCTATTTCCCTTCCACTAAATGGTAAATTTGCTGTTGTAATAAATCTGTCTATCACAAAGTAATTTCTGTACTGTTTGTAACATAACTGAATTTCACCATAGTGGTCATGTAATAGGGTAGGTGAATATTGTCTTGTTTATCATATAGAGCTTTTACTTATACATACTTGTAAGTAATCTCTAAGAAATATCTACATGAATACATTTTTCTGATAATAATTATAATAGCACTGGACGAATAATATTTGTTGGTTATCACTTTCAATGAATCTTGAATTTCAGGTCGAATTTCTATACTTTTGTCATATATATGACGTCCGTCTAGAAAGCATGGGACCTAACGTTTTAAAAATACCGACTGTCGTAAAATGATCAGTCAGTTATTGCTTAATTAGGTGAATAACAGTATTTCAAACTCGTTAGAAATATAGTGGAGTTAACTAGTTTTCAACGAAGCTTTTTTATTACCAGAAAACAAAATAGTAGGGTGAGATATTTTGTCATGAATTTTATGGATTGTGCTTGTTATAATATATATCTTTTAACGAAAATTTTTGATAAACATCGTTTATGCAGATACATTCAATATAATGCACGATTAATTAGGTGTAATTTGGTTCATAATATTGTCAACATTTTTGTTTCAATTTCGCACATTCACTCCTTTTTTAAACTTTTCCTTAGGTTTTTCGTCCTCGCGTTCCATCGGAAGCAATTCAGTTGGTGTCACAGTTACTTGACTACACACCCTCAAAACGTTTAGAACCGTTAGATGCTTGTTTACATTGCTTTTTCGATGAGTTAAGACAAGAAGGAACTAGACTTCCCAATGAGAGACCTCTACCTCCATTATTTAATTTGACACCCTACGGTGAGTATCTGAATTTCACTATTATTATTAGCATCATTATGTTGATTAATTGTGTAATACTGCAATATATTTGTCTGTTCTTTACGGATAAAAAATTGCTTCTCTACTGTCAGGCTATATTGAAGCATCGACAACATGTTTGATGTAAGTTAAAACACTGAAATTTTGAACTGTTTTACATCATATAAACATTATGCTTAGTTTAAATCAAGTCATTATTGTGTGTATCTATACTGTTGACTATCAAATGGTGTTACTATCCTGATATCTGAATGTTCTCTTCATTTATTCTATTTTTAACCTAATTCTTACGCTATAATAAAGTGTGTATAAAAATGTTAATTTGTATACCGATTTTGTTTGATTACTTATTTCTGTTCTTTTCTTTCTTTCTTTCTTTCTCTCTCTCTCTCTCTCTCTCTCTCTCTCTCTCTCTCTCTCTCGTTTTCTCTTTCGATAATTGTAAGCTGTATTTTCAATATCAATAAAGTTTTACACTTTTCCAGGTACGAATTTAATGTTCGCATAAAGTTGATTTTTATTAATTTCGTATTTATTGTTCTGTATAGTAGTGTATAACTCAACAAAATTACTTATTATCTATATTTTAAACAAACTCCGACTGTAACTCTCCCAGGGTTACTGCCGGTCCGAACCTCGGGTAAAGGAGGAGGGTTGGGCATGGGGTCAGTAACCCCATCCCGTAGAAAACAACCTTGCTATGAAACACTAACCAAAATCAACATATTAAACCATCTAGACTCTGCCATATCCGTAGGTTAATAGTATTTGATCATAGGTGCCTTCGAAATATTGCTCGTATATCCTGGGACCATCGAGTAAGTAACGCAGTTGTTAGGAAACGGGTACTAGTTAAGGATGGCAAATCAATTGATGACGTAGTGAAACTTCATCAGTTGAGATGGCTGGGACACGTGTTACGTATGCCCAACGACCAACTGCCTCGACGTGCGATGTTCAGTGGTATAGGAGTAGGTTGTAAGAAAGCTAGGGGCGGCCAGACCAAAACATGGCACAAGTCCATGAAGTCACTGACAAGTGGACTGAGTCATGTTGGTAGGTGTAGACTACCTGGTTGGGGACAGCGAGATGATAGCAACCAATGGTTAGAGACCGTGAATGACATGTCTCAAAATCGTTTGCAGTGGCGCAGGTGCATCCACTTTTTGTGTTCTCCCAAATTCTAATCTTCTGACTTCTTCATATCCTTTTCTTTTTTCTCTTTCCAAATTTATTTCACTGGATTATACTCCTTGAATAACATCTTCAAACCCTAACTTTTCTGATTACAACTTATAATTTTACTACATCTAGCACTACGGGATTTGAATCGACCACTGCATCTCCGTGCTAATGTGGTGTGGCAACTCGAACTGATGTACGAACGTACGAAGTTCTACGTTGTCACTGACTGACTAGACTCTGCCCTCCGAATTGAAAGAAGAATTATGACGCCTCATGATGAAAGTCGAGATTCTTTGAAAGTCATGAGGCTGATGCCCTTTCTAACAACCAGAGCGACAATTTTTATAAGTAAATGGAACGTCAGGATAATGTGCGAGACCGGGAGAACCGGTCAAATAGCAAAGGAAATGACGGGATATAGCTTGGTGGTGCTCGGAATCATTAAAAGCCATTGGATTCAAGCTGGACAACAAATGTTAGATTTGGGAGAGATGCTGCTATACTCAGGTCACGAACAGGAAAATGCCTTACATACAAGGAGTTGCACTGATGCTGTCCATTGAAGCACTGAAGTCGGACATAGAAGTAACTACGAATATTCTCCACATTGTAATCAGGATTTGGGAGGTAGAAGTGCCACAGGCAGACTGAAAATAAGGATATCTCATCAGAATACCAAAGAAAGGAGATCTGAGCAAATATGAGCACTACAGAGACACACTACTATCGGTACCAGGAAAGGTTTTCAACACGGTGTAGCTGAACCGGATGAAAGATTCAGTAAACACTCAACTTCGAGATCAACAGCCTGGATTCCGTAATATGATCGGTCATGTACAGACCAAATCTCCCTTTTCTCTTCCGGTGGTTGACTTGATTATGAAATCCTCCACATCTGACGGGAAGCACGGAATACAACGGACAGGTTGGGTGCAACTAGACCATCTGGACTTCGCAAATGACTTAGCTGTTCCATCCCATACACACGAGCAAATGCAGATCAAGACAACCAATGTGGCATCAACCTCTACAACAATAGGCCTCAACATACACAAGGGAAAAAGTAAAATCTTCAAATACAACGTGGAGAACATCAACCTAATCACATTTGACGGAGAAGCTCGGGAAGAGGTGAAAACTTTCACGTATCTGGGTAGTATCATCGATGAATAAGGTGGATCTGATGCAGACGTAAAGGCAAGGATTAGCAAAGCAAGTACAGCATTCTTACACTTCAAGAATATATAGAACTCAAAACAACTGTTAACCAACATCAAAGTTTTAATCTTCAATACGAACGTCAAAACGGTTCTACTATACGGATCTGGAGCTTGGAGAGCTACTACAGCCATCATCAAAAAAGTACAAGAATTTATTAACAGTTGTCTACACAAAGTTCTGAATGTCTGTTGACTGGGTACCATCAGCAACAACCTACTGTGGGAATGAACAAACCAGTTTCCATGTGAAGAGGAAATTACGAAAAGACGCTGGAAGTATGTAGGACATACGTTACAGAAACCATCAAACTGCATCAGTAGGCAAGCCTTAACTTAGAATCCTGAAGGGAAACGGAAAAGAGGAAGACCAAAGGACACATTGTGTTGGGAATTAGAAATGGTTATCGAAATAATGATTAGCAACTGCAAAGGATTGCCCAGGACAGAATTGTATGGAGAATGCTTTTTGGCGGCCTATGATTCTCCATGAGGTGTAAGAGGCGTAGGTAAGTATGTCAGTATAATTCAAACAAGAAAAATACATGTGAAATTGAGTGGTAAAATTATTATTTAAATTTAGCATCACTCGTTCATAATTTACAACATATCTCTGTGATAGTTATTCCAATTATCAGTATTGCGTACTTTTTTTTAGGAACTATCGATTTCAAATAAAATAATACTAATCTGATGAATTTGTCAGCCAATTGTAATAATCAATATTACTTGAAATTGTTAGAATGCCCTCTTGATTGAAATAATCCTTTTCCTATACTGTGATTTTTTAAATATTTCCTCCAAATTCCCTGTTATGACAGAGGGTCAGGAGAACTAGCTCTCCTTCTCGAAATGCTTTCACAGCCATTCACGCAGCAGTCCTACTCACTGCATTCTCGCAGTGGGTTTATTGTTCATGAAATTGAGAGGACGAAAAGCGAATATTCGGTGCTTTAACAGGGTTGGTGGACATGGGGGGGGGTTCACCTATGGTATTTGGAAAACCTAGATTCCAAACCAATGATGAACATGGGCTCCATGATCCTAAGGGAATGAATGGTTTATGAACCTATTATTGGTCACCAGCTACCATGGGACTGCATCTCCTGACGTTGCTCGACTGCCTCGTGCATTAGACCTTTCGGTCGAAGACTCCGGGTGTAACCGCCTAAGGAGACCACCTTTTCTGTCTGGGCACCCGAACAGTATCACAGTCCACACAAAAATCAAGTGACTTGTGTGGCGCATATGTGTTCAGTGCTCCTTTGTACCAATATTTATGTGTTCAAATAATAGTAATCTGTTGATTTCGTTTTTATACTTTTAGAAATGACTATGCGAGATGATATGTACAAATTTCTCCCACCTTCTCGAACATCCGGAGGAGCTGGGGGATCAGAGTCAAGTTTACCACCTACTTCGGATCTTTCAATGGTAGAACAACTACAACCGCATCATATAACAGATGCTGTTGATCGCACGGGACAAAATCACAATCCCTCTACATCAGAAGGGAGTAAATTATCGGATTCAGAAATTCGATTAGCAGTTGTAGCTCCATCTCGTAGTTCGGATAACATACAACTCATATCAAATAACAGTAACAACAATGATAATAACAACAATATTGATATACCTCATCAATTGAAAGATTCCTGCCATGAAGAGTTAGAATCTAGGAATATTCAAGGTGTCAATAGTTAAAGATAATGATCACATTGTGTCTATCTATAAAATTTATTCACTATATTTGTCCTCATGTGACATTTGTTAAATTCCGAAATTCAATATCACGAAACAAGGATGAAAAACCATTCGACTCAGGTTTCTCGTCCAGTTTATTCCTCCTGAGACAAGTACTAATTATATACATGTACAAATATTTACCAATATAATCAGTAATATTTCTTAAGATTAATGAAGCTCCTTCCTGTAGATGACAATCAAAATAACACAGAATTATAGTGACAAAGTAATTTGTTTTATTCCTATTTTAGGATTTCACTTATTTTCCATTTCTGTACAAACATACTCTCACATTCACAATTTAATGATCATTTCTCATGTAATTTCAATCATATCCACTCTCTTTCAATCACTTTAATTAACAACATCTACATATTTTGTGTGTTTTTTTTGTTCATTCATGTATGCTACATTTAATGTTGTAGTTTGTTTATTTTCAACATTGGCCCTTTGTTTTTTTATCATTTTTTTCTGACTACCTTACTTTGTTTGTTTTTCCTGCCTAAATGTGACATTGCTATTTGAAAAGTAAATGAGTAGTCGTTTACACGAAATATCCTTTGGTTACAACTCTTTATATTGTCTTCTAACTATTTCTGTTTTTTAAGTGATAATCAAGGAAAGTATTTGTTTATTAAGTGGTACAGTGCAACATTTAAAAATTTGTTTTCTAAAATGTATGTCAACTGTAATGTTTCTTTATTTTTTTTCGTAGTGTTTTCTTAACATTGTCTTAAATTACAATGATCTTCATTGTGACTACAGTTGTTTATCATTCCTGTTATTAATACTGCATGCGGCGCCCGATAAACATTATATATATCGGTTACAAAACAGACATCTTTCTTTCACATATTACGGCATTTTTTCTCGTCACTGCTCTCCTGTTGGTTCGTCTTTCATATCATATCATATATAAATACATATATATGCCATTATAGATTATAATTATAGACAAGTATATCAATTTACGATCATGATGTTTAATAGAATCCTTGAACATTTTTCTTTCCGTATACATCACTTTGTCTTTTTTTGCAATGACTTTAATGAATATTTCTGTCCATTAGAAACTTAATCAGTAGATAGGCAGGCTGCAAAAATATGTGGACTAGTCACATTACAAACAATATTTTATGTAATGATTTGTATTTGAGGGAAACACTTTCAATAATTAAAGGAAACACTGAGTTACAGATTGACATGTTGTGATTTCACATTCACTGATCTCTATTTCTATATAATACGCACCTTAATTAGTTATATGGGAGAAAAATGCGTTTACTTTGTGTGTTTATCTACATATACTTTCGTATCTACGTGTTATTCTGTCATATTTCTATGAACAGTTTTTAATTTTCCGTGCGTATCTAATGTAATATATTGATCAATATAATATACATATGTAGTACAACTTGTGTTCTTTTCTATCATTCATATGTAATCATCTTTTATTCAATTCACCAACGTATAACTATTAATCCTAGTTCTGTCCAAAATTTAAGCTGTTATAAATTACATTACAATATCAATCCCCTCCCATATCTGTGTAATTGAATAATTACACAAACCATATATTATGTTTTGTATCATTATGATAATTGTCACTCAGTTTATTCAAGAAAAGCAAAAATGAAGGAGATTAAATAAAGAATTTGTAAACTTTGTCAACTTTGTGCTTTTTCTGTGCTACATTTCTATTTCTTCTTTCATACATAATAAATAGTAAGTGGTGGTCTAGCTGCATAGTCTTTTTAATTCTAAAAAATCAAACAGTTTAGTGTCTGTTCAGAATTTTTAACCGTTTATTAATATAATGAATACTTATACGTGAATATCGTGTAGGACGATGTAAAGTAATCGGTCTTATATACTCGAGTATAAGTTGAGACCGCCATTTTGTAATTGAATTTATAAAAGTAAATAGTTATTGTCAAACACCATAAAGTATATTTACTTAGCTCTTGGTGAATTCATGAGTTAGTACAAAGTTATATCCACTCCTGGTTTTTTTTCAAGTTACCATTATTATTATTGCAAGTAACAACCACTTTATGGTTCGTTTATACAGATAACATGTAAGACGCCTGACATATTACGTACACGAACATAGTAACTAAGTTTTTGTAAGCGGAATACTGTTATCATTTGCAAACTTTCGACTGGTTGGAGGAAATCTATGCCTTGTAGCAGGTCTTCTAAACTTCTATATATTTATGATCATCATTGCTCCTAATACTAATCCGTTCAAAGTCAATTTACTGAAGGTCGACCCTAAAAATGCACATCTCACCTTATCCCACGGATATCCGTCTCCGACGGTAAGGTCTCAACAAGTACGGAGCTAACACAAAAACTACTCATAAAAAGGTCGTGTGTGACCGACCTCAAGCATCTGTCCCTTGGGCACTGCGGTCACTCTCTCAGATCACTATGACCACCTCTAATCCAATTTCCTTTTCAGGTACCTCCAGAAGAACCCTTCCACGGTGTGGGCAACTGGGAAGTGATAACCGCCTTCATAACTCTAACAGCACTCAAAACTGACTGACTGGAGGTCTCATTTTTGTCCTTTAAAGACTACAATTCTGTCTTCATTTGAATAAACCAACTAATTAGCAGTTAGTTTACCGCATGACTAGGTACACCAAATATCACTTCGCTATGGCATGATGTATTGGTGTCTGTTACTCTACTAATAACTGGCAATTTTTCAGGTTGGCATTTCTCTTGTCATACTGCTTTTTACATATCTTACGTCTCATCACTGGTTTACTCAAAAAGCTATTTTTCCAATTAGTTCATAAGTAGCCCTCAATATTTCATGAATTTTCTGAGAGTTTCTCAAGTTTCGTCGTAAACTTTAGTTCTGAAGTTTTCACACAAAAATTATTATATCGAGTAGTATATAGGATTATTTCAAAGAGATGCCCATTCCCAAATTTGTGTGCAAATTGTCTGTCTTACATGGTATATTCAGCTTTAATGAGTCGGAAAGATGTTTTTGCATGTTGTCTCTTGCTGACTAGAAAGCTAGGTTTTGGTCTGAAGAGTAAATTATTATTACAATAGTTTCTGTCGGTACACTGATCTGTTATTTACAATTGATTGATTACTGAGTAGGGACCAGTGTCATGTATGTCAAGTCTTTTTCAGTTCTGAATCGATCTAGTTGTAATATGGCCATTAGTCTTACTGACTCGATATCGTGTGCACTATGCTGAGGTGTAAGTTGGTGCTTGGAGGTGGTCAACAAGAAACTGGAGCTGAGTTTTGTCCCCTTTGACTTTCTCCAGCAAGATGTACCTGTAACCTAATTGGAACTGATACTCCCTAATAGATTCGATCCTGTGTCACAGCTTCGTAATCAGAGAATATCCAGCTCAATGAACGTTGTAGTGTTGGTCGCTAGTTCAAGCCCATATAGTTCCCGGACGGGCCAATTTATTCATTCTTCTTGAGTCACATTTTGACCTTGTTAATTATTCGCTTATTAACCTTGACTTTTTATGTAAGCGTATGTGTATGCATTTCTTATCTTACACGTCACATGTCTGTAACTTATTTTTGTTCGGCTATAAATATCGATTCACACTTGGTTAAATCGAGTTGGCTTACATGCCTTCACTGCGCGTCGTTTCACTTCACTCTCTCCTCTTCGTTTATCTGGATCAACCATTGTATGCAATATACGTATTGGAAATTCATCCTTGTATTCGACTTATTTAATTCTGTTATTCGCCAACGTATATTAAGTCGGTAATTATATGCGAGGATTGGCGGCATGTATATTTCAATAAAAATCAATCATACAATCATTTATATCATCCAAATGGAGTCAGATCTCGGGCCACAAAAACGCAATACCGCCAAAGAATTGGATGGTGGCACTTACTGTAACATATACGGAAGTTCATGTTTGTCATATCAGTTTCACTATATAGATTGTGCTTTTCATATTACCTCATGGTTGCTAGTTTAATATTTCTTGCTTCACATTTGTATCTAAATTCAGTATTCCCACTTGACAAACTACCAAGTTACTGAATTAATCCGAGTCACCCACGTTTCCATCATATCTTTGTATTGGTAGAAGAATTCGTAAACAGCCATACATTTATTAATGACATTTGTGTTCATAAACAAGACATCACATACCGATATTGTTTCAGCCCAATGATCATCGGTAGTGATCTTAGCTTATGTATAATTAGTCAATAAATTTTCCTCAAAAAAAGATTTGTGTACATAGCTTTGAAAGGTTTCGTGAACAAGTATTTTCATATAAAATTCGATAGCTTTACTGTTCACTCCATATGTGTGTAATAGTGAACATCTGGTTTTGGATTACTAGCTGTAAGGCCTTATCAAATGCTTGTCGTAAAGACGTAACCAACCAATCCAGGTTAATATACACTGTGATTCTTTATGAAATTTATGCAATTACTGGAATAATCCATAATAAATATTCGGCTTAATAATTAAACTTATCTACATATTTTCTGTTGTACCCACTCATTGCTTCGGGAATTCTGGAAGCATTAATAATATGCAAAATGAAAACTAGATTTGTGTATACGAAAATAGTTTGCTAGATTCCTTTTTTTGCTACACCCACTAGTTTTTTTTATATATTCACGTTGTTTTGTAAGTTGTATGTTTTCACCTTCATGTTACAGGCAACCTTATCATTACAGTTGAATAAATTCCAATAAAATTTACTGATTTCATTCATCTTATCATTATTATAACTTGATATCACCTGAAACCATTTCTCTTTCACAATGATTTTCATGTATCTATGTGAAAACTTACATCGAAACCTTTAATCTTGTAAATTTATTTTTGACCTTTAATCTGTTATATTTCCTGTAGTTTCCAGTCAGTCTGATGATTCATTTATTTATTAATAATTAATAGTTATTACATATTACACTCCATAATTTCCACTCACTTTA